TGTGTTAAGACGAGTTAATGCGGTGTTATGGTAATGTATTTAATAAGATAGTCATCAATTTACTATTTTTATAATCTCACATAAATAATGTATTACCTCCGTATCCTGTTACACATACTATTATCATCCAGCCAAGAGCTACAGCCCATACTGGTCGGCTTAATGACATAGACCATTGATTACCATAGATTACACTTAATCCTGTATCAAAGGCTACACAACAACCAATAATCACATAACACTGCAATTATAAATCTCATAGTATAAATCTATACAAATGTGTTTTATGGATCTAACAGTTTTCTTGAATATATTTCCCCGGGATTAACCACAAGAATATATGCAATGACTGCAAATTTAATCGACAACTTCAACCACGTGACTAAGCGCACAGCGTCAATCAATTTTTTAAAATGCACCAAGTTTGTCAAAGGATCATGAACTTTATGCATGAGCATAATTCTTTCATTGATTCAGTCAAAATTACTGATTTTGGATAAGAATATGGAAGATAAGCAAATTATCATTTGCAATTGAAGAAGGAAACGATGACATAATGATCATTTCACATATGAAGTACAGATAGCACAGTAAGCGTTCCATTGTGAGTGAAGGGATCTAAAGATACAATCATCGTTACATTTGTAAGTGTGAAGGAGCGTAATTTTCTATACAATGAGAATTACGTTGGTAAGTGAAAGGAAATACAAATGACCAAGTTAGTGTCCCGGCAAGTTAAAAAGGGGGGGTGTAAAGTTGACACAATGAGCATAACGTTGGTGAATGATAAAAATTTAAAAGAAGTAAAGATAGCAATGCTGCATTAGTAATGACGTAATATGACATTTAATTCTGTAACACAAGGAAGTATAAATAGCACTGTTACGTTGGTAAGTGAGTTGAGGCAGGAATTACATGTTGGTATGTGAAGGAAGAAAATACTAACACTGTTACATTTGTATTAAAGTGAAAGCAGAAAATTATGACACAGTTACGTTGATATTTGAAGGAATGTCATAATATATAATGTGTCTTACTGTATGCAGTTTGAACCGTCTCCCCTCCAGTCTGAGAAGAATAAAACCCGTTACCATGCCAACTATATATACTGACCATCGAGTGTAAGGTTTACAATACACTACGTCTGTCCCGTCTACTGTATCGATATTATCGTTATATCGACTAAATAGATACGTGTGAAGTAAATGTTATTTTAATTAGCTTTCGTTACAGCCATTTAGATTGTGAAAGTGGGAACACATAAAAACATTCATGTAATAATATATAAGTAAATATTCATTCAATTAAACTACAATCAGATCACATTGACAGCAGTTTCTTTGTTGACACACACAATCTTACTCGTGTAAAAACGGTGAAGGTGTTTAGCAGAAGTATGTGGCTGCGAATGCCACAATGCACCAACAACCTATGCACAGTGACGTCATCAAAACAAGTCCCCATTTCCATGACCTGTAAGTTGGAAATAAGTTGAGTAATTAATATAAATAACTGAATTACTTCCAAGTATACACACATGCTTGAATTAAAGACTAAGATATTTAAATGAGAGTGATAAACATAAATACCTGTGAAGTATTATCAATATTGGAGGGCTGAGCCAGTAAAATTGCATGTCATTATACAAATACCACACCCATCCGAGGCACTGATTAAAAGAGCTAAGTTATATTATTATTCTATTACCATTCGTATCGAAACACATTTGAAAAAGTAATATACACATAACCTATTGTTTGCTCGCACAGTGGGTATCAGTGTTGACAATGTGATACTTACGTGACATGAATGAATACAAGTTGTTGATGTAAAGCACATTCATCCACCAATAGTCTTTACGATTTTGTGTGGTCGTTTCATACCATATTTGGTAAAATGGCCCGTCTAATATGTGCAGAGTGAGGTATGTATAGAATAGCATAACAAACACCAATACCCACGTCAATCTCCAATAACAGTGAATATAATACAACAGCCAATTAATTAGGCCATTAGTTGTAGCCATCGTTTTAAGTGTTAGGTATGTTACCAGTAGACCGCTAACAATAAACACAATTATAAATACAATATTAAAATAATGAAAGCGACAAGGTACATGTGATCCGCATTCAATGCGACTTAGGGTTTACGGTGGTGTCACGTTGCTTTAACAAATGCTTTTACTAAATATTCGGTAAATTGGTAACGTCATAGAACGCCCATTCAGCTTAGCTCGTTCACAACGTATGCTGCTGCAATTCAACATCACACTGGTCTAAAAGAAAGCTACGGGATTGTACGTGGAAGATACATACAGTTAGGATGAACCATTGCAGACATACAGTTAGGATGAACCATTGCAGACATAAACATTCAGTACCCAACAATAAAATAGTATTCCTCTCATGACGAATACGACGAATTAACGGTTAGTGATAACAAAGTAGGAATACCAACATCATTAAACAAAAGGAAATTGTATCTGAAATCAGATCTGCCATGGTCAACTGCAATAACTGAGATATTCGAATGTAATGGCCAACACTATATTGTGTTAGTCATATTCCCACTGGCTTAAAGAGATAATAACATGATTTAAAAAAAACACTATCATGTGACCAAGCAATCTCGAGTAAAACTATTTCCGAAAATACGACAGTATATAAGTAGCGAATTTAGAATGTTTTAAGATTATTGGCCAATTATGTAGTCCCAATTGTGTTCAGTCCAATGGATTAGCAGAAATAAGTTAGACAGTATGTCCAAACTTTGCTTGATAAAACTAAACAATCCTTGTATTAATATTTGCTGACCATCGACTATCCTATCACTGGCTGTAACTAATTAACACTAAACCTATGCAAAGAACATACACGCCTCCCCCACTAAAACACGTGCGTCTGTTTGTAAGCTACAACTTCGTATCTTAGAAAGAAAAAAGAATCCACACTAAACGTTCCATTCCATATCACTTGAAATGCAAAGCCCTGAGTGGAGGTGAAGAAATAACGAAGATTTTCTGTAAAGAATTAAATATAATAAAATTAACGAAACCGACACAAATCTTCAAAAAATGAATCCACAACCAAGACTGCATATATACATATATTTATATTCATGACTGAGTTATAGTGTGCGTAACTGTGTGACGTAATCATAAATGGCCACTTAAAAATATGCTAATTAGATGCCAACGCAGTGTGGAACTTTGATCGGATATACCACTGATGCTTTCAACCATTCAGGACAGCTCTATGACAATTGTAGACCACTAGGCTTTAGTTACATCAAGATAATGGTCACGTGATACTACATGAGATTACATAAATCATCACACATACCTACCTACAGTAAACATCACATTTTGCACGTGACCTATGAACACCAATAGAAACCTGGGTACACGTATTCCCTGTAGACACGGTAAGTATGAAGACACAGTGTTTGTTGACAGAATCTGACGACCATTTTCCAAGATGGAACAAGCCACGAACAAATTGTGCATGTATCCTAAAAAGAATAATTAGTTAATAATGGATGAGTTTCACAATTATTGAGACACCAACATATGTTTTTATATATTCAAATATTCGGAAAGCTAAAGTATGTCTTTACAAGAAATAAAATGAATATAAATCTTTACAATTACCCAAATGGCTGTGTTTGGTATTGCACAATGTATGTTTGTTTTACAGTACCAACATTTAGTAATTGGAGGGACACAACGTCATATTGTTATATACCTAACAACTCCTATGGTGACCAAAAACAAATACATATATATTGACATACCTCTTTCGTTTGATGAGTTCCTTTTCTCGCTGTATATTTGGGCATGGTCTTTATTTAGACATCTCGTACGATTATATCATAGCTTGTACCAGCTAACACCAGGGCACCAAATATGAAGCAAATGCATCTTTGAAAAAACAAACAAACAATACTTTCCATTTTGTTTGTCGCAGCGTATAGCTAGACCAGAAAAATTATATTATACTATCAGGCAATCTGATAGTACGAGGTCACGGACTGCCAAGACGCTGCAGTTTCATTAAGGAGACATGTGCTTTCATGAACTTCGATTGACTTTCAGAACGTAATTTCACTTTTAAATTTATTCGAAGTAGTCTTATATATCATACTATACAGATAATTACGGACTTATTTATATTAAAAACATTAAGATGATAAACTTGACAACGTACATGGTCGCTATTGCGCCCGTGTCCAGGTCGTAGTTCTTGTTGCAGAACGATTCAGCGAACATAGACAGTGCACGAGGAAGACGTTGGGTTGCTGTAAGAATCAGAAGGTCTTCCTGCCCGACCCTTAGGAGTCTCCCAAAGCAGCCTTAACTCTTGGGCGAGTGTGTATGAGTTCACTTTGATTTATATATTGTCATAGATAAATAACCACGCATTGTTGAAAAATAATGTACATGTATGATGTCACCTAATATTGACCACTTTTTCATATGTCGACATTGCGGTCAACCATTGAGATTGATTTTGAAAGTCCAAATTTCTAATTGATTGATGGAAGTCGTTCACGTACAACCCCTGGTTGGACTACTTGTGCCGTAGGCACTGACCACGAGCAGATTTATACTGTTGTCGTTGCACAATCATCAAGCAAAATTTATTTATGATGATTATATTGGACGGGTCATATCGATAGAGTAGTTGTGAAATATATTTCATTAGGACATATTTGAATAAAACTAGCTTATGCATATTCATTCCATTAGTTTGTACACATGCATATGTCACCTTAGATCATGTTCTCATTACAGGACCTGTTTAACAGATACTCTATTCATGTTCTTATTACATG